TGAGTAAAGAAGTTTCACTTCAAAAAGTTACCAATTTTGAAAATTGCATTAGAAATTTTAAAATGAACTTTTCAGTCAGTTTTTCTGTTTAAAATAAGCGACTCACCTATTAGAATCTAAACTTCTTTTCCTTAAATGAGTCGGTTGTTCGCTGGTCGCCTCTATGCACAAAATCACAAGGCGACTATCACAGGGGTAGGACGTCTGTTCGAGCAGGCGGGGACTTTGCAAAGAGGCCCCAAGACCGCTTTTGCTGCTTGACGACGTGTGCCAGGCATCGCACGAGATGTCCAAAGCCCTTTCACCATTCGGAAGGGCGCCGTGCCAAACGGCTTTATTTGGCCATGTGAAGTCCGTTAAAACGTTCTTTCCACTAAAATATTATACATAAAAGGAATTATGAGTGCTGCCAACACAGCGCAAAGTAGTAATACGTAGTTAGTATCAGCAATTTCTTATGCTGAAGTGTACGGTGTGTTGCATACTCAATTACAAACAATTCCTTTAAATTTAATTTTTCAAACAATTTTTAACACAAAGAAAGTGATTAAACAAATTGTTCACACAAGTAAATTTCGATCACTCGAAGCAATGGTACTAACAATTTCGAGCTCACAGTGACTGATAGGGGGGGGGGTATATATAATAAATATTTTCCACCAACTAGTACTAATATTGGTGAACGGGAAATTTAGTAAGTACAGACCTACTTTTCGCATAAGTCTTATTGGATGCTGAATAGATAATGGGTCCAATTTAGTGAATCCTAAATTTTAAGGTATATCGACTTTTCAAGGTCCGTAGGGTCGAATATTTTTAAGTGTGTATATGTACCTATATTTTTCGACTTAAGCAACTTAAAACTGATAGGTTGTTAGTAAAATCGATTCAGTCATTTTTTATGAAGAATTAAAAGAAAATTACTAAAAATAATCATAAATAGAATATATGTTATTTGGATCGTCTATTTTTAGGCTATTTCATAAGGTAATTCGCATCTTTGACATTTAATGCTGTAAATATCGTGATAACGGAATAATTCTGTTCTGTTTTTCATCGGAAATTTTCGGGTTTGTATGCTACAAGTCCTGGTATTTTGTATTAATTATTACCACTAACGTGACTTTCAAATCGTATGCTGCATTATTAAAATCAATATTGGTTATCGGAGACGGATTGATGAAAGCGACTTTATCCGACCAAATATTTTTAAATTCAATACCATCATCAAATAAAGCACGAAATACAACTAGAAGACATTACTGCATCATAGCAGTAGTTATTTAAGCAGTTTGTATTAAAAGTTCGTTGAAATACCCTATCTCGACTGAAAAAGAAAATTCATATAATTATCCCCTAAAGCAAGGGTGGTATACAGGGTGGTTCAAAAAGTGCACAATATTGCGGCCAAACTGTAAGTTTAATCGAAAATTTTTTGAACAAAACGTCTTCCCTATTTTTATACCTACAAGATCGTTTGTCTTATCCAAATTTGATTTCCTGTACAGCTTGTTCAAAAATAGAAAAAATAAGATTTCGAAAAAACTTTTTTCTATAACTTTTTTTGATTGCAGCCATATTTCACATGACAGTCATCAACCTTATTTTTGAACACTCCGTATATGAAATCAGATTTGGATAAGCCAGACGATTTTAAAATAGGGAACAAGTTTTGTTTGAAAAGTTTTTCGATTAAACTTGCAATTTATCCGCACTGAGTATTTGGGCCACCCTGTATAATATAGAAGAGGTGTCCGCATTCAAAATAAAACTTTTAGTACATGAATACAAAAGTTTGCTAACCATACATGCACATAAATATTAAATGAAATATAACAATAATTGTAGAAGTACAGTAATAATTTAAACGTCTAGCTAAAAGTATCAGTTATAAGAATAATAAAAATAATATCTTTGTCTACTGAAAATAACACAAGAATATCCACTGACCTGAAAGAGTAAATTCTAGGGGGATGAACGAATACCGCTCCATCCCCTTTAAACATTTCTGACCAGGAATTGAACAGTATTTCACCCCGAAGGTTCGCGACAGGTAATTTTCGATCAGCGGGTCTTACAATCGAATCGACATTCTGAGATCTGGATGACAGGAATGCTCTAAATGTTCCTCTCAGTCCAGCTCGACGCGATTCCCGGAAACAAGTGTAATCTGCACCTCTTATCCCATGCACGTCTCCAGTGTGTGGTTCGTTTAGTGCAGCCAATTTAAGCTAATAAAAAACGGCAAATACATAACAAATGCATATTTCTGGTACAAGCAAGTGTTTGGGGAAAGGGACCTATGTGGTTCAGACCCTCCAAAAATTAAAATCTAAAGAAGTAGGTAGGTTTATTTTATAAACAATAAGAAACTTAACTCAACTTAACTAATAATAAAAGCTTTATTAAACAATGTCTGAAATGGGCATTATTAAGGAATATTAAAAATGAAGATAAATGTAATACTAGAAATATTTTATCGATTCTATGAATTCATTGTATAGGGTTGTTCGGAAAGTCATTTCGTTTTTTCCCGACAGAGGATTTAATTGTATTCTTTTGCACCCAATTTCACATTTAAGCCGTATAATTTTTATATGCTTTGAGAGCTCATATAGCAAGGCTTGTGTGTGAAAAATTCCAATTAATTCTACGCAGTAGTTTTTGGTTGGTGCCCTTTTAAATATGGAGAGCGATAAGCAGCATTTTCGACATATCTTACTGTTTTACTACAGAAAGGGTAAAAATGCTGTTCAAGCCAGAAAGAAATTGACTGATGTGTATGGAGAAGGTGTGTTGACAGTACGCCAGTGCCAGAACTGGTTCGCTAAATTTCGATCCGGCAATTTTGATGTCGAAGATGCACCACGTTCGGGAAGGCCGGTTGAAGCTGATAAAGACGCGATAAAGGCATTAGTTGATGTGAACCGGCGAATAACAACACGTGAGATCGGATTGAGGTTAAATTTATCAAATTCAACAGTTTATGACCACTTGAAAGGCCTGGGATTATCCTCGAAGCTCGATGTATGGGTTCCCCATGTTCTCACAGAGAGAAATCTGTGTCGCCGCATTGACGTCTGCGATTCGCTTCTCAAACGTCACGAAAATGATCCGTTTTTGAAGCGCATCATCACTGGGGACGAAAAATGGGTTGTATACAACAACGTCAAACGCAAGAGGTCATGGAGCAAAAAAGATGAACCGGCTCAAACCATTTCCAAAGCCGATATTCACCAAAAAAAGGTGATGCTGTCTGTTTGGTGGGATTTTAAAGGAATCGTTTTTTTTTAGCTTTTACCGGATAACACAACGATTAATTCGGAAGTCTACTGTCATCAGCTGGACAAACTGAATGATGCACTTCAACAGAAAAGGTCAGAACTAATCAACAGGAAAGGTGTAGTGTTTCACCAAGACAACGCGAGACCTCACACAAGTTTGGTCACTCGCCAAAAGCTTTTACAGCTTGAATGGGATACAATGCTACACCCACCATATTCTCCAGACCTGGCACCATCGGATTATTATTTGTTCCGGTCACTCCAAAATTTTTTAGACGGTAAAACCTTCACCTCAAATGAGGAGGTCAAAAACCTCCTCGATCAGTTTTTTGCCAGCAAAGACCAAAAATTTTATGAGCGTGGAATTATGCTACTACCAGAAAGATGGCAAAAGGTGTTGGACCGGAACGGTCAATATATAATTTAATAAGGTATTTGTTTATTATACGAAAACTGTCTTTCATTTCCACAAAAAAAAAACGAAATGAGTTTCCGAACAACCCTATATATTTTGCTTTTACTCCCTTTCCACAAACAAAATCTATAGTAAAATATTGAGAGATTGCACGTCATCATAGTAGGTAGTATGTACGAACCAATTAAAAAAGTAATTACAACAACCATACAAACTACGCCCCTAAGCGTCCTCAAGTAGGGCGAACGTAAGTCGTAAGGTCGTAACTAACTGTGTATGCTTTCTAACATATGTCCTGACTTATTTGTCTGTTGTAATATAAAAAATACGTGACGTACGTGACGAAATCACTTCACTGTACATGTCAAAATTATAAAAAGATCATTAAAAGGGGATAGGTAAGGTTAGAAATGAGGATGTATTAGAAAAAGTAGGAGAGCAAAGGGCCATACGGAAATCAGTAGACGAAAGAGACAGGAGCTATGGAAGACATGAAGGACTAGTTAGAGAAATTAGAAGCAGAAGCAGGAGTTAAGAGGGGTTGCGGTAGGTCTAGATAAGATTACTGCTGGAAAAGAGTTAGGGGTGTAAGTCTTATAAGGACTGATGAAAACGCGGTGATAATAACCTAATCTCTCAATACTATAACAATAGATACGTGCTGGGGAACATTTAATTCCTTTTTTGTAGATTTAAGATTCAATAGTTACAAGATAATTTTCCTTGTATCAGAAAAAATTAGGTACATAAAAAGATCAATCAACTTACCAGTTTGGGGTGCCACTGAAAATAAAAATAACTCGATTATATTTTTATTATTTGATAAATTATAAAAAATTGAAACCGAACCAACAAAGATTGTTTCGGTTTCTTTTTTATTATAATTTAAGAATGAAATAAGTAATTATAATTCCATTTACCTGAGGAACTTTAACTAAGTTGCTGGATTCAAATGGTGGTCGAATTTGGGGTAATGTGACTGGAGGCAGGTGTGTGGTGGACGTGGTTGTCGAAAGTGGTAGTAACGATCCGAGCTGTAAAGTAATGTTTTTTATGAAGTTATTATTAAAATATATGATAGAAAAATAATGTCATATGATGTTTTTACGGTTTTGCTTATATTTATATTAAACGTAAACTCAGGCTTTAATTTTGTCACTGACCCTATTTAGAAATAGTGAAAATCCCGTCATTGGCAAGTTATATGGAAGAATAATTTTCATATTTTCCCGATTTTATTTATTCCAATTATTATATTAGACTGTTATTTTATTACATCCAGATTTGGATTATTTGCAGCATTTCCCGCACTTTTTACCGTTTTTCTACAATCTTTAACCGTAGGGTGTCGTTTTGGGTTATGACCAACTAAGTGGGGGTCAAACATATAAACACACCTACGATGGTAGGTGCATTATTATAAAGTTTAAAGATAATATACTCTAGTAGAATGAAGATACGGGCTATAGGGCCGTGGTCTAAGTGAACTATTCTGTCCAGACGTTTCGTCAGCTATTGCGGCCGATATCCTCAGTGGTAGTGCTGCGTTGACAACGTGAACGTAGATTATATCTCGAAGTCTCGACAGCGGCTGGGTGGAGTCGCGATATAATCTACGTTCACGTTGTCAACGCAGCACTACCACTGAGGATGTCGGCCGCAATAGCTGACGAAACGTCTGGATAGAATAGTTCACTTAGACCACGGCCCTATAGCCCGAATCTTCATTCTACTATGGATTCCGGTCGTGAAAGCCTTTGTTCTTATATAATATACTCTGCACATGAACCATTTACCTGTCCCTTTTCCTCGCATTACTACCCCCTTCTTTCTAACGTTTCACAATGATTTCGGTCACAAAACATTCTGATTTGCAATAAAAAAATATTTCTTACCGCAATGTACTGCCACCCGTTGTTTACGCGTACAAGAAGTGCTTCTTCTTCCATGATGTATGCTATAGTGCCAACCGGATTCACGAGAGAGACCCTCAACATCGACTGTCTATCACGAAAAACTATGGCACCGGGTACTACTTTCAGTTCTTGTCTTAGGGCTTCAGGTTCTAAATATGTAGGTGGACTTGCGGATGCCCTTCCTGGGAAGGAAATGATTTTATGATAAAAAGTTAAATTTTGCTTGAGAAGTGGTAAAATATGAGAAGTCGAAGTGGAAGTATTATGTTTTTCACCTGCATTTATTTTCATTTCTCGCAGTTCTTCTAATTCTCGCAGAGCTTTTAATTCTTCTAAACTGCTCTTATATCCTTCAGCAGCGTCAAAATAAGCTCATTTGAAAGGATTATAAGGCAATATCAATTTATTAAAAATGTTACATTATTACTTATCACTATTACCTATCGAATTATTAAACTATTTGGTTACTTACCTGGTCTTGAGAAAAAGTGTGGTTCACCGTAAGAAGGTTCCCCTTTCGGTCCTGTGATTGATAGTCCTGGTAAACCTGCGGTTCCTGGAACTCCTGGTGGTCCCGGCGGCCCTGGAGGACCTGGAGGTCCTGGTAATGGAACGTACTTAGCATTTTCGTTAGAGGGAGGTCCGGGAGGACCAGGAGAACCGTCGCGTCCAGGTGTACCATCTTTTCCTGGTTCACCTTTATCTCCCTTTTCACCATGCAAATTTTTTATCTGTATGTTATTAAAAAGATGTTGAATTATTCTATATTTTGAAACATCAAGAGAACGTACAATTTCAAAATCGGCAGGCTCTCCTTTATCCCCTTTTGGACCCGGAATACCTGGAGATCCTGGACGACCCTATTGGTTTAAAATATTAATAGTATGACGTAATATCATTTAATTGGAACATTCACAGTTACCTTGAAATTATCCTGGTTTAGCAAAACCAAAGAAATATTTATTTTAAATTAGTTACCATAAACTATTTTGACACTCACCATCCACCCTGGTAGTCCTATTTCCCCAGGAGGTCCGGGTTTGCCGGGAGGGCCTATCGGGCCGGTAGGACCTGGTTTTCCTCGACGTCCTCTGCGTCCCATGTCTCCCTTTTCACCCTATGTCATAAAATATTTAGAACAAACATTTTTTATTTTTCTTAACCGTTTCACCTTAATTGTGATAATTTGATTAGTAGTGGCGTTGGTGACGGTAATAGGTCCAGGAGCTCCCCTTTCGCCCTTGGGTCCTGACGGTCCCAATGATCCTTGTGAACCCTTTACACCAGGAACTCCTGGGGTTCCATCTAATCCACGTTCTCCTTGTTCTCCTTTGTCTCCTTTATCACCCTTTGGACCTCGTTCAGCAGCAATTAATTCTCCGTTACCTGCAAAACAAGAACAACCAGTTTTAATATAAATCAGCAATAATATTAGTCATAATATATCTACCTGGAGTATACAGGGAAACTCCAGGAGGCCCTGGAGGTCCTGGACTTCCGGTATCTCCTTTCTCGCCCTTCGGAGATGGCAGGCCATCAACTCCAGGAAGACCAGGTAGTCCATCCTTCCCTTTTAAAACAATTTCAGTAATTATAATAGCCAGTTACAATTCCAATTTATCGAGGCTTGTTAAACATAAATGACCTACGGTATTTTTAATATGTATATTAATCGTGTTGGTTGTACATTTAAATTCATTCATTTATCAATCTAGTGATATATAATCGTTTATTCGTTGACAAATTGGGAAGCGTTTTCCATTTCCACATCTTGTTCTTTGAATAATTCAAACGTTGGCATTCGCACTACCCCTTTCATTGACTGTGCGAGCTGAAGTAACCGTTAAAGAGTAAAAAGGGATAACACGTCCAGCATTTTAACATCCTCCCTCAACCTCTACACAGTTGTAAAGGGTTGGGGATCGAATACATATTTTAAAATGCTACCTACCGCAAGTGGGATAAAATAAATTCTCTCCGTTTGAACTAAATGTTTTACACCGACTTCTTTTCTACGTGTCGGGATCGCGCAGGCTAGCACGTTTCGGTCGAATTAATTATTAAAAAGATCGGGTGAAGACCTCCGCTGCTGGTATTTCTTTGAACAAAATATATCAGCGTAATGTACACTGACAGCTGCGTTTAAAATATTTATACGAGGGCCTTGCTGGTCTCTGAAATTACTGAAACAGTGCGGCAGACCTTTATAGACTTTCAGAGATGTTCAACAAATTGCTAAATCCACAATAATTCTAATTTTATTGATGCTTGATTTAATTACGGAGAGAGGGGCAAATAGTCAAATTATAGTAGATAAACGTGATTGTGAATTGTGATTTCAATACATTGCCAACCAACAATTTAACGTTCTTTATTGAATTGATTTGTGCGCCTATTATACATATTGTAATGTTCGTGGGTTTAACAAAATTAACTTCTAAGACTGATAACGACAAAAACTATTTATTTACACTAAAACTTAAAAACACTATTAAATTACTAAACTTAGGTTATGAATTATTCTATTTTGAGGAA